TTGAACAACCCGCCCTCTGTCTCAGCAGGCTTCACAACACGTCCTTCAACCTCTAACTGTCCCTGACCTACGACCTCCTCTGAAGCAAGGACAAGAGGAAGGCAGGGAGTATTTATCTTTAAAGGATCAATGAAGTATCCCATTTCATTGATCTGCTCCTGAAGTGGCGCCATCTATCAGCATCAAGTGAATGACACATGTGTAAATCATTAATATGCTGATTTGACCCTTGGCTCTAGTTCAGTAGTAGTTTGCTTAAGAATCTGTGTTTTTCAAAAATATAAGAGACCAAAGGAACACCAGTGATAATTTTACCGCCATGACATGTTTGAAAGCAGCTGTAGTGCCACAGAAATACAGACAAAACGTCAATATGTGGTAATATATTTCAAATACACATCCTGGAGAACACTGTACATTTGTTTTGATTGAAAAATAAGTGTAATAATTCTTACCTTTATTTTCCACGAATGTAAAGTTATTACAATAAAACAAAAACATGATAATACTGACCGAGTGGACATATGAGCTTCTCCACCCATCAGCAGCTCTCACCAACCAATACCAAACACTACAGTGCCCTCTAGTGGCGACAACACAGTGCTGCTTCCACATCAGAGTGACAGAAACCTAAAAAAAAAAATGAACGACACAAACTCAAACGTTTTTTTTTCTGTAGGTCAACTTGTCTATTTAATATATAAAATACGGTAAAACATACGCAAAAAGGGGAGGAGGGTAAGAGGGGACCAATGGATACTTTGGTACAATAACAAACACTTTTTTTTTTGTAAAAGCAGTATAGAATTTGTAATAACATATCAGTGCATACTTTATTTATGAAAATATACACAAATTGTATATCATTCTCCAAAAACAACAAAGAAAAAAAAAAATATCTTTACAACAAAAAAAGCAGACTAGCCGAACACAATATATTAGCTATAATTTATTTTAAACTTTTTTCTTCAATTTTTTTTTGAATTTTTTTATTTTTTTTTTTTCAACCGTTTCTTAAATGTAATCCTGTGTGATGTGTAGTTGTGTCGATATTACATTTTTATTTCCTATAACATGACTCACTCTCGTCTTGTTTTGAAACGCCCATGCATTGACATCATTTGTGTCTGGTCAGAAATAAGTTAGACGTGTCTGCCCCCCTCCCCCCCTCCATGTTACCATGTGTGGACTGAGAGAGGTTTTGTACATTGGACTCACAGTTGCAGCATCGAAGCGGTTGTCGTCGTCGTCGTCGTCATGGTGCTTGTCGTCGTCGTCGCGGGCCGACTCGTTTCGGCGCCTCCGTCCGCAGCCACACGTGTACTAACATCACTACGCTTTGTGTTGTTTCATGTTCATAAAAATCGTGCAACATTAGTAACACCCTTTTTGAAGAAAAAAAAAAAAAGAAAGAAAGCAAATTCCAAAAAAAAAAAAAAAAGAGAAAACAAAAATATATTTATAGAATATTTTTTTATATAATAAAATAAAATCAAATTCCAAATAAAACAAGATGCCTAACCTACACGAACCAAAAAAAAAAAAAAAAGATTTCTATATCATCATCATGACAGCTACCATCGGTGACGGTAAAGATGATGATAGTAGTAATAATAATAATAATATCAATTCTCAGAGAACAATTAAAAACAGACTGTCACCAGCACAAATTAACACTGGAAAGTGAGTGAGACTTCTAAACATCATTATACAGGAGCATGTAATCGCTTTTTCGGGGGAGGTGGGGAGTGTGTGGGGGGGTCTTGTTTCTCTGCAACGATTGTCTTTCTGTCTTGTGATTACAGCAAAGTCTAAAGAACTCATCATAAGAGCTCCGGCCTGCCTGCTGACGAACAAAACTCCCGTGAGTCCTGTCGCAAAAGTCGCCACCGTAGTTCTGTATTGAACAAACCTATCTCTTTGCAGGCTTAAACGTGGAGTCGAGTTTCTGTTTTTTTTTGTGTTATTTTGTTCGAAGCTCTGGGCACAACAGTCTTAACAGTCAAAGTGTTTACACTTGGAGGATTTATGTTCACTCTGTCACGCGCTCAGAAAAGCAATATTGACACTCGGGCCTTGTCACAGAGAGGATGAGTGTGCGTGAGTGAGTGACAGACGGAGAAAAAGCAAATGAGAAAATCGCAGATGAATCGAGGGGAGGATGATGGGAGAAGTGTGTGATGAAGCTGCATGCGGACAGAGAGAGAGAGAGCGAGTGGGGGGTTGGTTGTGTTAGTCCATGGAAATGACCCCAAAATAATTCGGCTGGATGTCATTCCAGCGATGACACCCGCTATCTGGACGGAGTAAACAGAGAAGGAGTGTGTAATGAAATGCATGTGTGTGTGTGTTTGTGTGGCGTTTGGAGATTAAGCTTCCAGACAGGGAGAGAGAGAGAAAAAAAAAAACCCAGAGTGAGTGAGTGACAGGGGTGAGAGGGAGGTGACGAGGGCCTGCCCATGAGAAGGATGCAGTGGCTGGATGTGGTAAAACCCAAAGTCGACACGTCTGTGTTGGATTTAGGAGGTAGTCATTAAAAGATCAAGAACGGTTCTGAAACCTCCGGCTTAATGACAAACGATATCCAAACTCTGCCTCAAGTGCTTTTAACAAGCAAATGGATGGAGGCTCAGAGTGCTTTTAGGAAAAATAAATACATGAATTTGCACTTTTGACCACCGAGGTTTTTTTTTTCTTTTTTTCTTCTTTTTAATAAAATCTACCCACTAAACCCTAAATCACCTTTTGCCACTTTTACAGAGTACAAAAATGACATCCTTCACATTTCTTTTTTCCTTCATAGTCTTCAATAATATAAAACTACAGCCAACCAGTGACAGGCGAAGGAGAGATCCTTTAAATATAGATACATGGCTTTCAATAGGGGGGTGGGGAAGGGTAAACCTCTAAAGGGGGACGGGGGGACAGGGGGGGCATCCTTGGCTCGCTTAATCATAAACTATCTGCGTGTGAGTGTGTGTGTTCTAGAGTTGGACTGATATGTCTGTAACAGATAATAGTTTTCTTGTACGGAAGCTGCCGATATTTAATACTTTGATATGCCGTAAAAGACTCAATAAATAGTGGTCATAGCTGCAGGAATCCACAAACTGATGTTCAGTTTTAAAAAACAAACAGATTTATAGCTGTTAATTAATTAATTTACAATAAATATGGCAAGAAATGCTAATTAAATGTTCTAATTTTTATATATGTGATTATACTCAACGTTTAAAGCTTCTGTTCACCAATAAATTAATTTCAAACAGGCAGCGAGCAGGTGCCAGCGACAGAGGTCCCGACAGGAGCTCTGATTGGTGGATGTACAATTTAAAAAAATATTTAAATTAAACTACAACAAAAGTGCATTTTTTTCCCATTTGTAACTGCTGATTATTAGATTTTTAAGTCTCACAACCAGTCGATTATATCAGTCTAACCCTAGTGTGTGTGTGTGTGTGTGTGTGTGTGTCAGGTGTGTGTGCAGGTGTCAGAGGTGGGAGTTAAGGTAAAGTGCGCTCCATCAGTAACAGAGTCCTAACCACTGCTCACTCAAAACAGTCCGAGTCGCCGCGGCTACGTCGTCCCTTTCTGCCTCTACAGCGCCCACTCTTGGCTCGTCCACATATTACACTTTATATACACGCATAAATAATAATTAAAAAAAAAAAAAAAAAGAGACCGATCCACTGAGAATCAAGGTTTGCTTTTTTTGTTGTTGTTGTTGTTGTTTGTTTGTTTCTTTAAGGGATATCCTGCCGAATATATAGTTTATATGTACAATCCCTGTCGTCTGTTGTAGTCTCTTGCCCCAGATGCAGAGCTGCCCTTGCTACCGCCTGAAGCTTTTTAAATATATACTTGTATATGATCTTTTTTTTTTTTTTTTAAACCTTCAAAACACCTTATCCCTGTCACACAAAAGCCACAAAGGTTACAGATTGCTTATATACATGGTACCTCATGATTCTCCCCTTTGAACATCAGCTATCTATTCAAAACATGAGTTGCTTCACAAAAATAATTTCAGCTGTGTGCATCGTAGGTGTGTGTTCAAGGATGAAATTGAGAATGAACATTAGTCCAAATCACTTTGTTTAAAAAAACAAAAAAAGAAAAACAAAGAAAAACAAATTGTTGAGGTAACAAACCCGTATACACACACGCCTTTTCTCAGCATCTGCGGTTGACACGATGTGGGTGAAACGAGGAGGATCTGCGTCATGTGTCGTTGAGCTGCTGCAGCTCGTCCCTGATTCAAAGAAAAGCAGTCTTTTTTTTTTTTTTTTTTACCTCGGCAACGAATCACGTTCCTCGTTTTACAGCTAGTCTGCATGGTTCTGATTAAATAAAGACCCGCGGGTCGTCATTCTCGGACAGGGCCAAAGCGCCGGCCTGTTGATGTCGCCGCCGGCTCGGCTGGGGGGGAGGCGGGGAGGCGGGTGTGTTTTTGTTTTTTTTTCTTTTAGTGTCTTCATTCAAAACCGAAACGAATCCAAATTCTAAAGATCAACAGTCAAGACAGAAGGACAAAACTCCACGCTTTAAAAAGAGCAAAACCGCCCAGGCTCTTAGAAAAGAAACGAGAAGCGAGGGCGAGAGCAATACAATTGTGGATGGGCGGATGTGTACAAAGATGTGGACTCATTTGGTGGCACCGTTTTAATACAGTGCTGTCATATTTGACCAAAACCTACTGTGGACAAACAGACAGTAAGGACATGAGGGTGGAAGAATGCCACCAGCCTCTAACCGAATGCAGGGCATGCAGGGAAACCCGAGTCTGGTTTGTTTATCTGCTCTGCCAGCAACTGTCAGCATGTTAGGGAGTAGTTCAGGGGCCAAATTTGGGCTTTTATTAGCCGCTGTGGCCTGATTACAAACTTAACTCATTCACGTCTATTCAAATACAGCTGAATGAAGTCCTATATGGTAATTGTTTTTGATAAATAATCCCTGGTTTGGTGGCTCGACCCCCTGGGGGGCTTTGATTGTGTGAGTGAGAGTACATTAGAGTTCAAAAGTGAATGCACATTGCCATACAAGTGAGCGTCAGTGTCCACACGTGCGACAAGAGTGTGTTAGCATACTCGTGTTGTGTATGTATGTGGAAGGTCAGGGCTTCCTGTGTGGGCAGTAGGTTACTGGATCGACGGTGGGTATATTATGTGTGTATGAAAGGGGGAGAATGGGGTCGTCGGGGCTGGTGGGGGCATGTACACAAGCCACAAGTACACATCTCCATCCTCCATCTGTCCATCCTTCTCTTCCCATCCATCTCTCTATGTGACCCAGGTATCCAGTCTCATCCTCTTGACGTTGGTCCCGTCCTGTTCCTGTGGCTCCGCCGAAGAGGGCCGCAGGAGGACCATGGTGGGTTGCTGGGCTCCAGCACCGGCCTGGTGGTGGAAGTCCGGACCCCCGCCTCGGCCCTGGGTGCCGTCGTCCCGGTCGCTGCCCTCGTACGAGCTGCCGTTGCTGCTGAGGCTGTCGACGGGCGAGCGGCCTTGGCCTCCCGCTTCCAGGCGCAGGGTACCGGGGTAGGCGACCGACACCAGACCTTGTCCCTGCACTTGACCGTGGCCGCCTCCGCCTCCGCCGGCGCCACTGGTGGAGCTGGGAGTGCTGCGGTCGCGGTTGGGTGAGACGGGTTCGGACTTGATGTTGACGTTGGGGTTCGTGTTGACTGTCAGCGCGCCCTGAGGTATGTTGCTCACTGGCCTGGAGAGACGGAGGAGGAGATAGAAGAGGAGAGGATACAGCGAAGAGTTACGCAACTGCACATCTACGCGTCTCAACCTTTAACTGAACACGGAAGCAGACTTTGATTAGACAAAAAGTTTGCAGGGATGAAACACAGAGTTCAGCCAATACTGTAAAAAAAAAGAAAAACTCAAAAATGCTCGCTGTCACATGAGTGTATCACAATACTCCAATAAACACATGTTGGACGTAAAATAGGAAAAGCTCGGCAGACCCAAGACACCCAGGCGATGCTAGAAACTTTTGGTTGGGAGGACTTTCAGCACATGGAGAACAAAGACACACAGGACAGATAAGACTACATTTGAGGCCACATAAAAGCACAGTCCATTAGCCATGCAGCCAACACATTCTGGCGTATCGGATTTTTGTCTGTAAAGGTTCACGGCTGAATGTGAGCATCAGTATAAATCACATTTCGGTTCTGCTCTGTTTTCCTGGCATGAAAAACTACCGGCTATCGCATATCAACATCTTCCTGCTGCTTCTAGCTACAGTACAGTAAGGACCTGCATTTTCTGTTTTACCCCCCAGATAGCTGGTTTAGATGAAGTCCGACTGGTAACTGTTTCCTCAGCATGTTTGATAATCATGAAGGATGATGTTGGCTTTTACAACCCGTCGTCGTTTAGAGCGATTCAGCTAAACGGTACATGTTCCACCTGCCTGCGGAAAGAGTTCTGATCCAAAGCGCTGCTGTTTAAAGAAGCAAGGAAGCTACACTGGTGTGAGCTTGTGACTGCAGCTAAGAATCAAACAATCCAGAAAGTCCAGCATGAGCTGGAGTTTGAAAGTTTATCAGATGGGAAAAACCTGGCAAAGCAGTTTCAGACTGATATGTGTCTGATTTAAACATCAAAGTAGTTTTCTTGTGCAGTGATATATGAACTCTCAGCGCATCTGCATTGCTTCTATTAACTTTTTTTTTTTTCCTGGAAGTCCCGTTATGTAAACATGTCAAGTGGCCAATCTGTGAAAGCCACTGAATCTCTTAAACTGTGTCAAAATGGCAATCCAAACGCTTACGCAACGCTTTTTA